TTTGACAAAAAGAAGACAAACAGCCACTCACAGCTCCAGGATCAGGATGACCTCGGCCTTGTTTTCAAAGACTTCGTGCAGCGCGATGACGTTCGGGTGCTGGATCTCTTTCAGGATGTTCACCTCGCGCTCGATGTCCTCCCGCGTCACCCCTCGTCGGCTCGACTTGCTGCGCCGTTTCTTGATGAATTTGGCGGCGAACTCCACACCTGTAGTCCTGTGTCTGCATCTTCTGACCACAGCAAACTGACCGCTGCAGACGGGAGGGAACACAGAGAGCGCTCAGCAAACACTACAACAGCTTATTTCAGACAGAGGATGAAGTCTGAGACAGGTGATAGACAGAAGGATTATTCTGAAGTGTGAATACAAAGCTACTGTAGCAGAGACCTAAGATAGAACATATGGAGCGATATGATGACTGTAGCTGAAAGGGCAGAGAAATCATTCAGAACAAACCTGAGAAAATGAGAAATACACAAAGATGTGTAGCAGCGAGCTGAAAGGAACCTCGGCTGCTCAGCGACCTTAAAAACAGACTTCAGGCTGCATATATGCATCACTGTCAATATGGTAAACACAGACATCTGAGCCAAAGGGAGTGGGAGGGATTATGAGAAGCAAACTGGTGATCAGGAACAGCTTTAATTAATAAGTGCTGGATGAATCACGGCTGAAGCTGAAATAGCAACGCAGGAATAAAGACAGCAGCGTGCATGCTCACACTCACGTCAGCGCAACACGGCGACAACCTGCACGGGTGCAGTCGGGTTATTTCTCATGGCCTTGGTCTCTGATGCAGAACGCTCCCATATCTTTAATAAAAGACTTGTGCACAGAGTGCAAAGGCACACCTTCCTCCACCTTCAGCGGCCCCTCGTAACCAGCTCAGGAACAGTGTGCAAAAAGCAGCACAGCTCTCAGCGTCAGCACCTCGTCCACAGAGCCGACAAACATCCAGACTTAGTCAAACTTTAAACTCTTACTCTGAAACCAGACGTGCACCTCAACAATAATGAACTGCAAATACTCTATGCAGTGTATCCAAACTGGGCCGATGAAAATGAAAAGATCTGTATGTTTTTTACCCATCACACATTAGAGGCGTGTGGTTGTTGTTCTATTATGTTATGTGATAAACACACAGGCTGCGGAAGAACCCACGGATCAATTGGGAAAGTTTTAACTGCTCTTATGTAGAAAAAAAGCCCATAAATCGACTATAAATCTGCCCAGAAATGTTTTATTTTTAAAAAGAATTAAAGATTTCGATGATAAATCCGTGGACGGTCACTCTAACCTGGGCCCTGAACGCAGCGCTTTGCAGTCAATCGGAGCATGCTCAGTGACGCTGAGCTTCACAGTCGGCTTGTTATCGAAACACTGACGATGCTTTACAAAGTGAGTGACACCACAACGACTTCACCAACCGTTGGTGTGTAACTTTGTCTCCTGACATAGTGTAGTCGCCACTAGAGCTGCCACAAACGATTATTTTGATAGTCGACTAATCAGATCATCATCCACTGGACATAAAACATACAGCTTATTGCACCAGCAGCATCTGCTCTTATATAACTATCATTAGCTTACAGCTTTAAG